TTTAATTTTAATGTAAATAGCTACATGTGGTTGGTGGCTACCATACTGGACAGCACAGCTGTAGAGGTTCAAGACTGGAGAAAGAGAAATGGTTAGGAGACCAAGAAAGAAGCACATATTCAAGAGGAAGAAGAGACAGGACAGAGTGACTGATGATGCCAGAGAATGGAGTGGGGGAGGAACAGGAATTCCAAGTTTCTAGTTTTGGAGGCACAGTAGGTTGTAATGCCAAAAAAAAAGAAACAATTCAGAAGAAAGAACTGGTTTGCAATGGAAATAACTGGTTTGGGACTGATAAATGTGAGGTGCCTGAAACACATTGACATCTATACTGCACTCCAGCCACGTCAAATTCCCACGTCTGGCATGTTCTTTCTGACCTCCTTGTCTTTGCACATGTTATTCCCTCGGTTCTCTTGTCTGCCTGGCAAACCACTCCCTCCCAACCTTACCATCAAACTGTGAAGTCTTCCCCAACCTCCCCCATTCTTCATGGCAGAATAAAGTCTCAATAGCTCTTCAAGAGGACTCATCACCCTGCCGATTTAGAAGTCTCTTTACCCCACTGGACGGTGAGCTCCTTAGGGGAAAGAACTCAATCTTGTCCATCTATGGATCTCCAGAGTCTAGCAGAGTGCCTGATGTGAACCGAGTAGACAAGAGACCACGTGGATAAATCAAATGAATGCACGCATGTCTGCGTGCACAAATTAACAAATCAACTGACCCCGCTAACCAGAGTCCAGGTGGACTGTCCCCCAGTAGTAACCTAATGGATGGCTGGAAATAAGCAGAGTTCACTCAGGCACTTGAATGCCCACCAGTGAAAGCCGTCAGGTACTGGGACAATTACTATTTACATAAGCCTCACACCATGACTTTTCATTACGACAAATTCTACCATCCCATATTCAAATTCCTCAACCTTAGTTTATTGGATGATCCTAAGAATAAATTTAATGTCTTAGAGTTCAACATATGCAAAGATTTCTCCTCCAAAAGTGGGCCTAATGCTTTTCTTCATGGCTTCATGGTCTTGTGTATAAATAACATTCTTCCTGCACAGTAAGGCAGGCTCTGACTCACTACGCGAACCTTAGCTGAATACCCCCATGGTTGGCAAAGGTACAAAATGTTTCTGTTTTCCAAAGTCAACGGATACTGGTCATCAGTCCACTATGCCCTGTGCTATTTTTTCTTTATGTGCCAGTTCATACCAGAAAAGAACTGTAGAGAAATCACTTCACTGGCCCCCAAATTGCCTTTTGCCTCATTTATTTTGCTAAATTAGCACTACTAATATTTGTTAGCAACTTAGTTGAAGAGAGAATTCCAAATTCGGAAGTTCAGTGTTTTGGCTTGTTATTAATAATTACATCAACATCTTGATGTAATACAAAATGAAAATACAAATAAATGCAAGTAAGCATTTTCCAGCAAAATCATTCTTCCCCGATTCCCTTCAAGGACTCTACTACAGAACAAATCCTGATGGGAAACAAGCTGAGTATGAAATTCATAGAACAGTCTTCGTGTTAACAAAAAGAAAATTTAAATCCTGTACTATAGTGATGATAACTGGTACACATTGCAAATTCAGGGTCCTTTCCATCTGACTCTTTAAAAGTTTCCCAAAATAGAACAATATGCTTCATGAGTTCACATAAAGATTCATCTCTTATGATTCATATATGACAGAGTCTAGTGAGAAAAAAATTTAAGCCAGAGTCCCAGGGCTGGAGGAGATATTAAGTAGATACCTAGCCTGCCACTTGATATCAGTGCAGAACTGTGATGTGCAAATAAATGCATTTAGACCAGCTCCCTTAAACATGACTATAGTGCCTTCAAAAGTATCTCTATGCCTGTAATCCCAGCTACTTGGGAGACTGAGGCAGGAGTTCAAGGCTGCAGGGAGCTATGATCACACCACTACACTCCAACCTGGGCAACAAAGTGAGATCCTGTCTCTTAAAAAAAAACAATCTCTATGGAAAGGAAAATTCTGCAATTCATTTGTTCATTCACTCATATATTCAAATCAATGACTCTTGTTTTTGTTTTTTTTTTTTTGAGACAGAGTCTCACTCTTTTGCCCAGGCTAGAGTGAGTGCCATGGCGTCGGCCTAGCTCACAGCAACCTCACACTCCTGGGCTCAAGCGATCCTTCTGCCTCAGCCTCCCGAGTAGCTGGGACTACAGGCATGCGCCACCATGCCCGGCTAATTTTTCTATATATTTTTAGTTGTCCAATTAATTTCTTTCTATTTTTAGTAGAGACGGGGTCTCGCTCTTGCTCAGGCTGGTTTCGAACTCCTGAGCTCAAACAATCCACCCGCCTCGGCCTCCCAGAGAGCTAGAATTACAGGCGTGAGCCACGCCTGGCCAACACAGACTATTTTTAATGATTCTGGAAAGTTGTAAGTAATTTCTACGTTTATCAATTAAATCATTTCCTTCTTTATTTACAGTATAATGTATTATTTTAAAGTCTTTCATATTCCAAAACCTGTTCAGTCCAGCTCAAGACTTAGAGTTGTCAGTATTTCCTTATAGGGGCTGAAATGCAGAAATGCTAAAAAAAATTGGGGCTGAAATGCTTAGGGTTTCCCTTTCATATCCTGAAGAATCTGCTTTCAAAGAAGAATTGAGTACTTGTCTGCTAAGTTTGGCGTTCTCATCTAGCAGATAATCCCATAATGAAGTTCACTTACATCAATAACAATTAAATAAGACCTAGTTCAGGGGAGAGGCAAGAAAAACTTAATAAAATTGAGAACTTTCTTTTTAAGAAAAGCTATCTCTCAGGCCGGGTGTGGTGGCTCACGCCTGTAATCCTAGCACTCTGGGAGGCCGAGGTGGGCGGATTCTTTGAGCTCAGGAGTTCGAGACCAGCCTGAGCAAGAGCGAGACCCCATCTCTACTAAAAAAATAGAAAGAAATTATCTGAATAACTAAAAATACATAGAAAAAATTAGCCGGGCATGGTGGCACATTCCTGTAGTCCCAGCTACTCGGGAGGCTGAGGCAGTAGGATCGCTTGAGCCCAGCAGTTTGAGGTTGCTGTGAGCTAGGCTAACACCACGGCACTCACTCTAGCCAGGGCAACAGAGTAAGATTCTGTCTCAAAAAAAAAAAAAAAAAAAGAAAAGAAAAGAAAAGCTATCTCTCAGAGGGAGAAATATCAATGTTCTTTGTACTTGAGGTAATTCATTATACATATATGCCAAATGGTACTTATAGGGAAACCGTTATTGAATAAAAGCTGAGTACTTGAAATTAAAACAGACCCATTAGAAGAAAAAAGCCACTGTTAGCCAAGTGCTATCAATCTTGAGATAATAACATGGAGAAAGCAGATTACTGACATAGAAAGGGTAATGATCCAGATGCCAGGAGACCTGGGTTCCAGACTCACTTAGTTACCAACAAGCCATGTGACCTTGAACAACTCATTTCACCTCTGGGTCTCAATTCCTTTGTTAAAGTGAGGGTCCTGGCGTATTGACTCTAAGAGCCACTGCAATTCTAAATATCATGTTCCCATCTTTTAAATTATGCTGCCAAATGAATAATAGAATTGTGTAGACAGGCAAATAATTCAAAGGACTAACACTATATAGAAAGAAAAAAAAGAGGAGGGCTTATTTTTACTTACTGGCATAAATCTTATACCTACAACACATGCTTTGGTATGACTTATGAAACCTCTTTATTATTTTCATAAATGCAGCATTTAAAGTTCATCTAGAATTCAGTAAAACATTTTATTGTCAAGAAGGAAGAGATCTGAAGAAAGAAATATTCGGAGCTACAAGAGCAAAGATAGACCTGGTGGACCTGATTAAGGTCTAAAAGACATACTATATACCTTGGGGGTTTCTAGAAACCTTTCCTACGCAACCCGAAAAGCGTTAGAAATAAACAAATCACAGACAGGAAAACATGCTTCTCTATGTGGCACAGACTGTACCTGCAAGCATTTTCTGGAGAAAAGAGGACACTGCCTTTTTAACGTTCACAGCAATAGGTAATCCGGTAAGTATAATTCACTTAGTGATGGATCACTTAGGTATTGGGATTAAAAATAAATAAATAAATAAAACCTTCTAATTAGAATTACAGTACTGCATAAATAAAGGGGGAGCCATAATTTTTCAATTCTAGAATATGACTTCCAAGATAAGAAATAATTAAATACGTATGTAAGGCTGCTCAGTTATTAAAACAATAAACTTTTACATTTTGCTATCCAATAAAAATATAAACAAAGTGTCTAGTGACAGCCCTCAGAGGGGGACAAGGGCACACGATCCAGCTGAGAAGAGAAATAAGAAAGCACTGACTCAGGAGGAGGGTGGGGAGGGGCTTGCAGCAGGCAGCACACTAATTCAGGGAGTCTGGTAGACGGCGAAACAGCGATTATAGTCAACTGGAAAAGCTAATTTGTTCATTTTTTCTCACAAGGCACATTTACATGTAGATTAGATTTGGCTGTTAAGAAAGAAAATGGCAGCATGTAATAAACATGATGCCTTAAAATTGCGGGGAGGCCCTCTATTAACAGTTAACTCAAGTAACTCATTTAGCTATTCGGTAAGAAAAAAATACAGTTAGAAGTATGTCAGCTAGTCTAAAACATGCCAAAGCAAAGTTGCAAAGTTATTCCATCTATTTTGAAAGGAAGCATGCACATATGTTCTAAAACCAGAGTCACAAATTATAAAGCACAGTCTTTCATTTGTTTAAGCCAAAAATCTATTCACCAAGAAAATAAAACACTTACTCTGACGTTTTCTCAAAGCATTCTGGAAAAAACATTCCACACTGTTCGGTTAATATTGAACTAGTTGAACATTTCAAGGAACACTAAAACTAGGTATGCTTGCTTAGGTGGTGAGATTTCTGTTAAATCAATCACTGAGGAAAAAACCAACGAAAATTTTACTTTCAAAAAGGTCTACTTTAAAGGAAAAGCAAGCCTTAAATAGCACACTCACGTTTTTCTGATTAGCTTCCGTACCTGCCTCTTCCCAACCCTACTGGTATGTCTGACCTCGGCTCTCAGCTGAATTCTCCCAGCACATTTCATCATTTCCTGTTGGCTGCCGAGATAAGGTCATTCCCCTACACTGCTGCATTCACTGTACACCAGGTTCTCGGGCTGCGCGCTCCTGCCTGCTGAGGCTCTTTTCAGAACGTGGCTGAACAGGAATCTCAGTATTTCCGTGGACAGTCAAGGAGGTCTGAGCACACAATTCACACTGTCCTCCAAAAAATCAACTTATATATAAACTAAGTTGCACTGTACACAATAGTCTTAGAATTTCTTCTTGCATTTGGGATCCTACTGCTTATGAGAGAAAAAAAGACATGCTCTGTATCTAAGGAACCGGGTGTCCAGCAGTCAATGTGACAGGGTCTTAACCCATACAGGATAATCTTACATTGCCCCTACATGTAGAACTCAACTTCTTCCCATGACTACGCACACCAAGGCATAGCTTATCAGTGGAAGATGACCGGATGCCTCATGTAGGAGACATGCAGGCGACCCTACCACCTCTGAGCAGCACAGCTGTTTCCTAAGAACTAGGGCACTCAAATATGCAAGCGTGACCAGCTAGAAGTACAAATAAAAAAACACCCTACTTGTTCAATTTTCATAAAGAATTGAAAGTGAAGGAAAAAAACACTAACATAACTTTAGGTGGGGAGGAAGGGATCCTCTTTCATAAGGCACAAAGAAGAGGCCCCACTAAGAGCAGGCGGGCAGGGGCAGCAGGAGGGATCTGAGCAGCGTCCTGGCTCTTGAACTGGTTACAGGTGTGCGGCACTTGTGAACATTTGTTGATATGCACACTTACGATCTGTGCACGTTTATGTAGGTATATTATACAATGAAAAGTTTTTTAAAATCCTCAACAATATCAAAATACAGACACTACAGGAAAGAGCAGATATTGGAACTAATCTGCAAAACCAGACAGGAAACAAGTATCTCCAGGGCTCAATTTCCCCAAGATGCCCTCCCAGAAGATACACATCAACTCCCTCCATCCCCCATGGCGAGCAGAGATGCTACATTTCAGTGGCAGTGGCCAGAACAGGGCCAGTGCAAGCTCCCCCTTACAACAAGGGCCCAAGGGGAAGTATGTAGATGGGAAAATAATTAATAAAAGAATATACTGCAAGGGGGAAATGTGCTAAGTGGATACACATTATTTACCAGTGTTCTTGCTACTCATATTTATTCAAAACTGTTTAGTTAAATAGCCACCTTATAGTCTCACCTTATAACACAAAATAGGTTAAAAATCTCGTTCTAGAATCTTGTGTTTAGAAATTCCTTAACAGAAAACACCAATAAAGCAAAGACCACACAACATGAGACTCTACTACTTGACATATGATAACAATTTACACTACTTGGAAAATTACTTTACCACCCCTCCCCACCCCACCCAGTCTTCCCCGCTTCCCCCCACAGAGAAGTGAACGAGAGTGGATCCTGATGTCCCCTGCAGTCAGCTTAGCGAACTCGACTGCACCGTCACTGAGGGATGCACCAGGGAGCACCAGGCCGGCCACTAAGGGAGACTGAGCACCTAAGCCGGGGGGCAGCAAGCCCCCTGCCTGCCTGTTCTCTCCATCAAGCCAGGGTGCCAGAAAATTCTTTTTCATGGGAGGGTGACAATCACAGTGAGGTACATTTATTCTCTTTGTTTCTCTTTTTTATTCATTTTGTTTAAGAATCGCATTCTCTCTCTCTTTTTCAATCCAACAAACACAGGCTACTCAGTAAACATTTATACAGTGCTTACTTTATTTCTGGCTAACTGTGAAAATAGCTCTATGAGGGTAAATATTGTTACCTCCATTTCCCAGGCGAGATAGCTGAGGTATAGCAAGGTCATGTAACTGCCCCGTGGCCCACAGGGGTGAGGGGTGAGGGCTGGGTGCAGTGGAGGCTGAGGGTCAGTCCGGGCCCCAAACAGGGCAAGACTGCCCTGCAGTAGCTGCCCCAGCACCCTCATGTCCCCTCTCAGGCAAAGTGTGGCCTGGACGCCTAGTGCAGGTGGAGGCCTTCCGGGTCCTTCCCGGCGGTGCCCAGTTACCAGAGCAAGGTTGGGAGGGCAGGGGGAGAAAACTAATTTGAACTGAGTTAAGAATACAATGTTGGAACTGTAAAATAATGAGACCGGCTTCCAGTGTGGCTGGGGGCACCCTCTCCCTGCCCAAAATGTCAGCCACACCTCTCAGTGGGCTCCAGGCAGGGAAAGTGTTCTCTGGCAGAGGACAAGCCTGGCTCAGGCAGCTCCCCTGTCCTGGGCCAGTGAGTGGTACAGCCCCCCACGTGGTACTGGGGCAGAAATACTGCTCCAGGGAAACTCACCTGCTAACCTCTGGCATGTGGTGCCTAAGCCGGAATTTCCAGTTCTGATCTGGTTTCTGTCACCAAAGACTTAAAACCATTAGGCATTCATTCAACAAACATTAGTGCCAGGCACAGTGCTTAGAGCCTTAGGGCAACACGGTTGAAGACACCAAGGTCCCTGCCCCTGAATTGGCCCACAGTGTATGGGCAGAGAAAAGTATAAGTAGATAAAAAAGTTCTAAGCAGATACTTGCTAGAATCCAGTGTGTCCCAAGGCCTGAGGGACACAGCAATGAACCAGAGCAAGGTCAGGGAAGACTTCCCAAAGGAGGGGACATGAGTTGGTTCTCCAAGAGCTTGCCACCAGCCTATTCAAACCATGTGGATTAAGGCAGAAACAGAGAGTCCACCAAGTTAGCTAAAGACTAGCAGCAACATCCTTCAGTCCTCCTCCTCCTCCATGCACACAGCACACACGGGGGTCCTCCCAGAGGCAATGCAAGCCAGCGGTTTCATTCACCCAGCGTAACTCCAAGACGTCAGGACAAGCCTCTAACAAGGCTGCTTCTTTTATCTGAGGCCTTTTGTAATATGGTTGTCACATGGTGAAGTGGCTGCTGTTTACCAAGCTCTCTCACAAGACTGTAAGATAGGTACTACTCGGGATATTGCCCCAGAGAAATGAAGCAACCTGCCCAAGGTCACCCAGCTAATGATGGCACAAAGGGATTCACACTCAGGTCCACCCGATACTTTCAAAGCCCATCCTCTTTCTGCCACACCCAAGCCTCCCATGGAACTGGACCTGTGCAGAAATTTAGGATATTTGGCAACACAGGCCATGTCACTTGGAAAGAATAAAATTTCTACAAAGTGATTTTTTCCCCATTCCTCTGCTGGTCTGTCCTTGCTCTAATGCCACATTGCTTTAAAAAAAAAAATTAGCTTTACTGAGATATAATTCATATACCACATAATTCACCCACTCAAAGTGTATAATTTAATGATATTTATTAATAGTATATTCACAGGTATGTGCAACCACTACCACAGTCAATTTTAGGGCATTCCATCACCTCAAAAAGAAACTCTGTCCTCTCTAGCTGTCATCCCCTCTGTCTCCCAGCCCAACAGCCGCTGTCTCTTTACAAGGTGATTCCTGAAGTGGTTATGGGCTCACAGTATTGAGTTGTTAATAAAATATTGCAGATTGCAGTTCTGTGCTGCAGTCTTTCCCCAGTGGGCTAAACCTAACCGCTGAGCCAGGACGGGGCAAGGGCAAAGCAAGACACCTCAGCGCAGGCGGCTGGGGTGGGGGTGGGGTACCTGGTACCCTGGCACTGGACAGGCTCCATGGTTCCTGCATACCTGGATCCCCGAACTTAGCAAGCCCCAAATGCAGAGCCAGGTAGTCCGTCAGCAGGGATGGTGGAAGTTATGCAAAAGCTCAAGAGGAGCCCCCCCTGATTACAAGCCTTTACCATTAGGAATTCTAATCTCCCATCTCCAGAAAGGCAAAACCAAGATCGGATTAGCTGCCACAAGCCAGGAGTTGTTCTCAGAGGCCACACTATTTCAGGATGGCATTACTCACGGCTTCAGTGAAAAGAGGACTCTCCGAAATCTGCTCATCCTCTCTGCCTTCCTCAGTTGCTGCAGAAAGTTGGGGAGGAGGGGTAACTACAAAAAGACCATGCATACACTCCTGCGGCACCTAGATTTCTCTGCTACACATCTCTATACAGGACATCAAAACCCAACTGTGTGTGGCACTGATGCACAATGGAGAACAATCAAAAGGAATAAGATGTTGATAGATGCAACACGAACAAATCACAAAAACACTATGCTGAGCAAAAGCAGCCCAACGCAAAGAGCACACATGGTACGTGTCTCTGTACGTGAAATTCAACGCCAGGCAAAACTAATCTATAGTGACAGATCAAGGTTTGTCGGGGCCAGGGGGTGGGTGGGGATTGACTTCAAAGGAGCACAAGGAACTGTTGGAGCAATGGAAATGTTCTACCTTGACTGGGTCAGTGGCTAAAAATACGTATATCCACTTATTAAAGCCCCTGAATGGATGCATTCAATAGTATGTAAATTAATATCTCAATAAAGAGAAAGAGAGGAGAGGGGGAGGAGGAGAAGAAGAGAAGAGGAGAGAGGAGAGAAGGAAGAAAAAAAGGAAAAAGGAAGAAAAGCCCTCTGCAGAACTGCAGTAACAGAACTTTCTCCTACTCACCAGCATCTGCATCTGCAATGCAATTGTGATTGACATTACCCAAGAACTGTGTTGCAAGGTGCTTCAGATTCAAGACTAAAATAACTTCTGTGTCACTTTAGCCTAAGTGTGCTTTACTGGATCTCGATCCGTAGAATAACTGACCCTCTGCCATACACCAACGACGTCGATGAACCCAAACGGTCCGCTTTCCCACCAGGCTGACTCAGGTTCTCCCCACTATCACCACAATACAAAGCAAGGCAGTGCCACTGACACGACTGGGACGTGCCAGGTTTCAGTGACAGGTTTCCACAGCTGCTGGAGAGTAAGCCAGCAAAACCTAACAGGATAACTTAAGATACTGGCTTTTCTTTGTCTTCAAATGATAAGTAAATCTTAAATTCTAGAAACTTATCATAATTATGAATAGATTCTATAAAAACATCATGAA